CAGAACCCCAGCTGAAGGGCTGCAAGCCAGGAGCTCCGTGAAACCCCTGCGAGCAGGCAGCACCGTCTGCCAGCCCTGCTCACGCACCCAGCTGAGGAGGGCACAGGGGTCCTGGTGTGGCGGCCACACGTCTGATCTAACCCCTGCTCTGAGGAGTCACTTTCACTGGGTTAGGCTGAGGGCAGGGGCTGGGAGGAGGGCTCAGCGTGCCCTGCATTACTGGGGGACACGGTGCCTGCAGCCTGTCCCGTTAGCTCGCCAGCTGTTCTGATCCGCAGGCCAGGATGGGTGTCCCTCCTGGGAGAGCATTCACTGGTGCTGTGCCTGACAAAGGTGGGGGGAAAGGATCTATTGTAATATCTGAGTAATTCGGCAGGAAATAAAGCAGGCCTTTCAAACTCAGGAAAGTCATGGCTTAAGGAAAAGATCGTGATGAAAGCCTGATGATCTGAGAAGTAATAACTTCTAGAGGGCTATGGTTATTCCTCTGTTCTGGAAAGTGACTTATTTCATATTCACAAACTTGGTTTTATTCTTGTAGAGCTGTATCAAAATGCCACCTAGTTTTGACTTTGGACTTTGAGAGCAACACAAATAGTTACTACCAGAAATTTTTCAGATGAAGAACTGCATTTTGTAAATTGCAAAATTAAAAACTTTTTGACAACTGATAGCCACCTTTGTTTCAAGCATTTGGAAAGAGCTTTTTATGCTTAATCCTGGATGTGCCTTAATTCAAAGCTGATAATATTAGTCTGGAAAGTCGTCAGATAGGCTCTTATAACCTCTTGCTTTTGTCCATTTTTATTACTCTACCAGTGGATTAATAGGAGCTCATTGATTCAGGCATCTTGCTTTGCTTTGGAAGCAATCTTGTCCATCTTATAGTTAGGAGTGTTTTGGTTTTTTTTTTAAACCTTATCAAATAGTTCCTCCTTGTGTGTCACCTTTTGACTGTCTGGAAACAGGAACAAGTACTGGAATGAGTTTCTCTAGAGTTAGCGTTCCACGTGATCGTTTCTCAACTGTGAAGATGCATCTCTAGCACACAATGGGCCCTTCCTTCTTAGGAATAACTGGAGTCATGCAAAGCATTCAATTTTAGGGTGGAGTGGGGGTTGTGTTTATTTTGAATTGATATTGTGGGTGAGGGAAGAAGAAAATTGATTTGAAAGTTCATGTGGGTATACATATAAAGATGTAAAGCTGGATTGAAAGTCGTAGTGATTGTGAAGCTGCTGTCCTGTTCAGAGAAAGCTGTGAAAGATTCTCCTTTATCATGCCCTACAGGTGACAGGTTATTGATTGGTTTACCAGGTATAAAACATGTTGACTTACTGGCAGGTTTAAGCTGAAGTGGAGGGAACAGAATGCAGTTTGACTTTAATAGCAAGAGCTGCAGCATTCGCCTTATTTTTAGACCTATTTCTATGGTTTTTAGTTGGGCTTTTTGTAAACAAACTGTATTTATGGACCTCTGGAACAGGAGTTATTTCTTTGGGACTTGAAGAACAGAGAATACCTCTCTGGGGAACTTGTGTTCTGAGCTTCCATGGAAATCTTCCAGGATTTTTCTTCTTTTTCTTTGACCTTTTGTGATCTATGCCATGTACACCCTTGCTGCAGTGATGTCAAGGTGTTTTCTTGAAACGTGGCAAAGGATGATTTTTATTTCCATTGCAAGGCTTCTGCTTTCATCTTATCCTACTAAGGAGGGTTGTGTGCAGAGCAATGGCCTTAGTTTTCACGTGTTTCTCCTGCCTTATGCTTGGTAACAGAGGTGGTGTCTGAAAACCCTGCCCGGCCCCTGGAGCAGAAGATGCTGTGGTTTGCCGTGGCTCCGTGGCATCGGACTGGCCTTCAGGAGAGCTCTGCATTGTGCCCGATGCATGTCTGGGTGGCAGAGGCAATGAATTGCATGTTGCTTCTCTCATTTCTTGCTGTAGTGATCCTGAAATGGTTTTGACTCCCATGTTCCTCTTATGTGTTGAATGAAGGCACAGTGTAGTCACTTGAATTGTGTACATCCTTTGTGTAGTTAAACGTGAGCGTCAAGGCTTGTACAATTTAGATGTCGTATTAAACAGTAACTTGTGTGACTGTCAGAGCTTTCAGAGCTGCTTCTGTACATGTAGGTTCAGCCACTTTGAACCCTCCCGTTCTCCTTGCCTTTCAGAAGATTTTCTCTTGAACATTCATTTGGACAGCTAATGAAAAGTAGTGTTTTATACAGTTTCTGATTATTTAACTGGGAAAAAGAATCTTCATCTACATGTAATTTAACTGAGCATCTCTCACAGTAGAAGCAGTATCTTTATGAAATGTTTCAGATGTCAGTTCTTATTTGAAGATGCAGCTCCCTTGTTCTGTGTTTGGCATAAGCCTGACTGCAGAGGAAGAAAGGGGAGATGCTTCTTTCATGCAGCATCAGGGTAATGCTGGCAGTCACAGCACAGCGCACGTATGTGAAGAACCCATCGCCTTTTCCAGAACAGCCTGGGCTGCCTGTCAGCTGGTGAAATGACAATGATTTTCATTCCTGTGGTCTATCGAAGGCGCCTTTCTCCTTTCCTCCCACAGATTTCAAGAGCATTGACAAGAATCCTGATGTCTCTGAGCCCCCATGACATGTGCTGTCCCCTTGACCACTGCTGCTGGCATGTTTTAGATCAAACCTGACAGTTTTCTGTGATACTTGAGCCTTCCCTGTGCATTTGCAGGACAGAGCACGGCCTTTCTGTCTGTCCCAGCCCTGCCTCATTTGGTGTGCAGAACAAGTGGTGTTTGTAACACCCTCTCTCTCCCTGCCTCTCTGCTGACACTGTCCAGGTTTTGCAGGATAAGGAATTTTCTACTTTCTTCTGGGCCACTACAGCAGATTAGTTTATCGAGGTAGATACAAGAAAGCGAGGAATAGAGTGGAAAAATTTTAGGAGCTTGGCCCTAGCCTCTTTCTCCTCCATGAGTACATGGTACTCTCCTTGCTAGTGTTTATTTCTCTCCTCCCACTAGTGCCTCTTCATACTGGTGGAACTGGAAAGGTGTCTCCACTGTGTGTGTGCTCAGCCGTCAATCTGTCTGTGCAGTTTATTGAATACATCACTTCGTATTGGGGAAGAAATGAGAGACGCATCCATGCTCTGTTTCACATCTAGCACATCGCTAGTGGTGCTGCAGCTTGGAGAAATGGGTCCTGCGCCTTGGGCAGTTCTTTCCTGGGGGCTTCTGGTGCTCAGCTGCTGTCTGTTCCCCTCCCTCCTCTCCTTTCCCTTCCTTGCTCAAGGTGAAATCCTGCACACAGGGTTATTGTGGTGCTTTCTCATGTATTTTAAATCTCTAGTCTTCATCCCAGTGGTCCTCACAAAGCATCTTTTCTTCCTCTCCCACTCCAAACAGGACAAAAACCTAGAGGTAGAAAAAGCAGATTCAGAACATTTGCTTTCTTAGCTTTTAAGAGCAGTGCACCAAAGACAGGCAGAGGGTTATCATTCGTAGCGCCCGAAGTACAACATGTTATCGAGCAATTTGTAGTCTCTTGCGGTGGAAGCGTAGAAGAACCGGGCAGGCGCACACAGAGGTGGGGGTTGTTTGTTGGCTGCAGGGCGTGGGCAGGGCATGGCCGTGCAGCAGCATGGTCCCCTGGGAGGCTGCCCAGGCGTTAGCACCTCCTTTGCATCACCTGTGTCTCAGGAATGGAAGTTCTGTCTGTGCTGATCTTTGCTGTCTCCTTACGAGGCGAGAGCTGTGTGCACTAGGACTCACTGAGCATCTTAACTGGGCAGCTTGGGGATACAAGTTCATTTTCCCTCCAGGAAAGGTTCTTGCCGTTACCAACAAAACCCAGGAATAAAAGTTACATAAAATGACACTTACCAAAGGCCTCTGTTGGCGATTTGTAGTCAACGTTCAAAAATATACAGAAGTACAAGGCTTGGAAGACAGAATTAACTTCCTGTCACCTTCCCTGCTACACCTTAAGCACCATTGCAGGACAGTAAAAGGAAAGCCAGATACTGCTTTGATTTTTCTAGTAGTTTCTTCTTCAGTGTGTAATACCTCTGCATTTCCATATTCCCTCTGCCTGTTTTGTACTTTTAAAAATAACTTCTGTATTTCCCCGCAAGACAGTGTCCCGCTCTCTTTGTACTAACGTGTACTCTCATCTTGTAAACTCTTTTTTAAGAACTTAACTGGAAGCCTGTGAATTGTTAATGTGCCCTGAGATATATATGTAAACAGTTGCATGACATTAATTTTAATCATTGGTCTGTCTTTTTAATTTCTTACTAATTGTCCTACTCTAGATCAAAACCAAGCTCTCCGGCTGTGTCTGGGCAGCACTGCTGTTGGGGCCCAGTACGGGGCTATCTCTGCTCTCAGTATCAACAACGACTGCTCGAGGCTCCTGTGCGGCTTTGCCAAAGGACAGGTAATTCCTGTAGGATGAGATGCTCCGCTTTGTCCTTCTGCAGACTGCTTCCAGAGGAGCAATAGCTCCCAGCCAAGCATGCTCAATGTGCAGCTGTTTGTGAGTTGGTTTGTGCTGAAAAGCAGTATGCATGGCTTCATCTGCCCAGAGCTTTTTTTGCCAGCCAGTTCCTGCATCCAGTGAGCTAACTCAGATTGTTTGGGGTGGGTTTCCGTGGGGGAAATGGGTAATGCAGAATATAGTGAAGGATTGAATTAATCGTGGCTCATTGTGACGTAAGTCCTGATAAACTGAAATGTGCAATGGTGCACCAGGACAACCGGATGACTCTTCCTAGGTCACCTTGTGAGATCTATGCTTTGCAATTAAAGCTAGTTTTTATTGTGGTGATGACTTGAAATTCTGGAAACCCACATCTAGCCCCGAAGTTCATTTTTACTAATGCCTTACTTCTGTTGTATGACGGAAGCAGCATAGGTTTTGAGTGCAAGGGAAAAAGGGGTTGAGTCTGCTGCTGTAGTTTTATGCCCTTCTCTGAACTTACAGAGGGAAAGCAATTCCTGAACAAAAGTTGTAAGACTAAAACTACACCAAAATGGTTAGAAGTTAACTTGGTAAAATTTAGAGGTCTGTGGAATACAAAGAAGGCTGCTCTGATTTTATTTTTAGATTCATTTCCCTTTGCTCCTCTGGCTTTCGCCTTCATTCTAGATAAAACACACTCCAGTGCCTATGATAGGACTACATGACAGACTGCTCCTGACCATGTGAAAATACAGATTTGATCCATGCAGCGCAGTGGCCAGTTTTAAGTGATACTCAGCTGAAATATTTTGGAGCAGCAGTTCTGAAACATCTCGTCTGTGGAGCTTTGATAGATGATTTATGGAACCACATACAGTAGTATTTCCAATGAGAAGTCTGATTCAAATTGTAATCTTGGCTCTTCTGGGCTAAATACTCCTCAGTGATACAGTCAGTAGTTTGGGACTTGCTGCTTCTTAGCTGAGAATTTAATATCCAAGCACAAGCAAGGCTGTATACTCCAGCCTGTCATGCTGAGCAAATGCAGGAGTAGAGAAATTACGAGGTTTGTGGTAGCTGTGGAGATGCTTCAGTTTTGTTAACGGCTGTTAGCAGAGATGATTCAACTGTTCACTGGTTCTGTGAGATAGAAATGCATTGATCTATGTTGTGTGGTAGCAAAGTTATCTTACATTCGTTAATTGTGTTACCAGGCAGCTGGGAGGTGAGTGAGTTTGGGCAGGTGGCAAGAGGACATGGCTCAGAGTTGGGAAGATAACTCTAATGTCAGTGAGAGCATAAGCAGATATGTAAACTGCTTGTAAAAACAGGGTAAGAACAAATTTCAGATCATTTCTCTTTGAGATAAAGACCCTACTAACCCAGGATGATATTGGGAATACAGAAATGTATTGATGTACCAGCACACAAGGTGGTGGAGAGAACCCCTTGGCAGTAAACGTACTGAGAACAATCTTCTTGCAGATCACGATGTGGGATCTCGCCAGCGGGAAGCTGCTACGATCAATAACAGATGCCCACCCACCAGGAACAGCCATTTTGCACATCAAGGTAACAAATGCTACATGTACTCCTTGTAGACCACTGTTTTTTTTTTTTACTTTAAAATACACTTAGGTTCAGTCAGATGTGTTGACTTCCCTTGTGTTGTACTTTTAGATTTACAGATGAGAGCATCTACTCAGGAGCTCTATAGTATCCAGCAGTGAGAAAAATGAGCAGAAATTCTATTTAAAAAAGAAACTGAGTATTTTCAGAGATTAAATAATAGTATCGGCTGTGAGTTGCACTATAACAAGCAACAGTTTGTTAGTATAGTGTATAACGTGTTGTAGATAACACGTTATAGTTGTCTGTTGTAACCCCTCTCCCTGATGCCAAAATCTGTGAAGAATTAGTTGCTAGAATACATTTGTCTAAAACTTGCAGTGGTTTGAACTGGATATGTGACCTGCTGACTTTAAACTTAAAAAGAGTCTGGAGTGTAGAAAGTAGCTTCTGTCAACAGTTTTTCAAGTAACTTGTGGGAATGTTTGGGTTGAAAGAGAAGTCATCTACAGCTTCTTGCTCAATGTAGTGTTGTCATTGCACACAGAAACTCCTGTGTGGTTTTTGTGCATGGCTTTGTTTTATGTGGACCTACCAGAGCATAATACTCGTTGGCAGCCTGGTCAGAGCAGTGACTTTGGTGCATCACCCAAACTCTTCTCTCTCTCTCCTCCTTTCCTGGACCTTGCTGAGACATCCCAGACCCATACCAGGGTCACACGTGGAGCTAGTCTGATGGGGCACGTTGCTCAAGGACAGTTCTCGTGTACTGGTTGGCCTGACCTGGCTAACCAAAAATGTTTTGTGGGTGTGAAGATGCTGCCTTACTGCTACATCTTCCATGCTTCCATCTCTGCCATCTTTGCTCTGTGCATAAAGATGAATATTCCCTTGTGCCAGGTCCTCTGCTCCTAGTGGCCCCTTCTCCAGCTTGTGACATGATGGCGGTACCAGCACTGAGGAGTGCTGAGCACTGCTGATAATTGTGCTGCTGGACGCTGAGTTGCAGAGTCCTCCAGAAGGGTGCCTAGGCTGTGGCTGTGACCCCTTCCTTGATATCAGTAGTAGTTCTGGATGTTCCTGATTTTGGTCTGTGACTGCAGCCTGTTCACCAGCTCTGGCATCAACTCACACGCTTGAGGCCATGGGCTGTTCTAATGGTAACCCAGGTTTTGGTATGTGGTAGTTCTGAGCTGCAGTGGAAAGTCAGGGGACCTTGGTGACAAAATCTAGCAATAGGGCTTGCTGGAGGGGTGAAGATGAAACAAAAACCTTGCTTTTCTTTTGCATCATAAAAAAAGCAAGTAATTTTCTCAACTCTGTATGATAAAGGTGCCTTTCTGGTAGGGAACATGCTTGTACTTTTGTGTGCTGTTAATGATGCCATAGCATATATTTTTTTATCAATTTTTTGTAGTGCCACTTCTAATCTAATTATCTGCTCAGTTTACAGATGACCCAACACTTGCAATATGCAATGACAGCGGAGGCTCCGTATTTGAACTGTCATTTAAGTAAGACAATAACTCTAAGTACCCGTAGAAAGTACAAGAAATTAATGCTGGGTCGTAGTTTCTAAAATCTAGGAAAAAAAACAAACCACATTGGAACTAATAAAGCTACTGTCTGGATGTTGAAGGTGTAATTTAGAGCTGCAGTAGAATTTCACAGCTGAAGATGCTGTCTGGCAGTGTAACAGTCAAGGAACAGCCCAAGTTATTAAGGTATTAATGTGTTGTTCAGAATCTTGGCATTCCTTGTGGGGTCCTCACAGCTGTCATAAAAGTGCTGCCTCTTGGTTTTCCTTGTTTTGTCAGTGAGAGCTGCCCTGCAGTAACCGCTCATTTTCTTCTTGGCCTCTTCGAGAGGAGGAGGGACAAGGAGGAAGGATTAGCAGTCTAGGGAGTCTGATCACATCCAGGAATTTCCTAAACTTTACTGCTAAATGAGATCATAAGGAATACTTGTCTGCATCTGAGCAGCTGCATGGGACTCCTTCCAGCGGCACACTAAAAGTGATCCCTGGAGCTGTGTAAAGGACCTTTTAAAAACAGTATTTATGAAGGATTTTGAGATTTCATGAGATTGTTGGGCTGATCTCTTCTTCATAGCTGGCCACCAAGCTGATTTCTCTTCTTTGCAGGAGGGTTATGGGAGTGAGGACGTGTGAGTCTCGATGTCTCTTCAGCGGCTCCAAGGGAGAAGTTTGCTGTATTGAACCGTTACATGCAAAAGTTGACCTGAGAGACCACCCTATCACCCAGTACTCACTGCTGGCCATGGCCTCCCTAACGAAGGTAACTTGCATCTCCTTGAGGGTCAGGAGGCTTTGCAG